GCTATTTGTCTCAGTCGTATGATAAACACTTGTAAAAAGTTCAAGCTAATTTCAGTATTTTTGGTAAATTGGCGTTCCTAACTAAAATTGTCTACATTGATTTTTAAGCTCCATATTTTTATGCTTTTAATTGAAAGTTTTCAGCTTAAGAATAATATGGCTAACAATTTAATTTCATGGATTGATTCTCACTTTTTTGTAATACAATAGATTTTATAAAAGCAGCTTCGACTAAATCAATACTTTGTACAATTAAAAACTTAAATTAAAAAGAAGAAAACATTATTTTTTAAAATTGGAATACTACCCATGTTTTTTTAAGTGTAAATTCTCAAACTAAATGTTATGCGTGTAGTTGCTTGTAACATTGCGCTTGTTTTTAAAGACATTTTTTTCTACCACACTTCTAGCACTTATTTCTACCACTTCTTAGCACCTTCAATACTTTAAACGAACCTATTCTTTTGTAACATCTTGTTTTAAATTTCATAGTAATAATTTTATATTGCTAATTAATAAAAGTTAGGTTTTTTATACCTTTTTTTTGAGTGGAGAAAGTAAATCGGTTTACCACTCAAAATCTCCGCCTCTTCAATTTACATTGAAATTCCGTAGCTATGCTCACGAAATCAATTTATGCCAGACCAAATCAATGCCATACAAACCAAAGCAAAGTCTCAAAAACCGAGCGACCGACCCACTGTCGAAGGGAAAAGTCTCCAATGAATACGTCTTAAATGGCATCATAATTAATAGCACTTAATATCAATAAATTATTTGCAATGCGTGCCAGGTGAGCAGACATTTACTTTTGCTATTTGCTCCTGCTTTTGCTGTGGAAGCCAACAAAAAAAACTAAGCATCGACAGCTGTCCCATCCGCGTAATAAAGCAGACACGCCTCCAGGATAAGGCTTACCATTACCAGGAGGACAACACCCCCTTCATCAACAGAGCAGGGAGCAGGGAGCAAGGGAAAAAAGCGTAATAACAACATCATCCTTCTCAGCCTTCGGGGCCCATTCGAAATTCTCCATCAACAAGGCCGCCAGCTAGGAGGTTTTGACACCAGACGCCCAGTCGCTAGAAGAGGCCATCAAGTGTTTTAATTAGCCCACCCAGACCCATAGACGACCCATAACACCATGCACCATACACCCCATAGACCAGATGCCATTCCCTGTTCCCTGTTCCCTGTTTTCTGTTCCCTGTTCCAAGGACCAACCGACAGAGCGACCGACACCGCCTGTCGGTAATTTATGTTTTATTTATGCAAAGATATTGCGGTCCGTCGTCCACTCCGCTCCACTTCTCGAGTCTGGGCAGATGTGAAATGTGAAGTGGAAGTTCAGTATTTGTGGGGTTTTTGGGAGGGGGGTTTTCGAGGGCGCCATTTTGCTGGGTTACGCGTTAATATGCAACATTGTTTAACTGATTGCAGTGGCCGTCGACGGCTAACGAACCCGTTAGCGGTCTGGTCAGGATCTGGAGGGTTTTGGTTTTGAGGCGAGCTAAATCATCGGGGTGGTAGGTTCGTTACACCACAGCCGAAACGGGAATAATGCAGATATTATAAACTGGCTAATGCACGAGACTTCCGCATTCGGGAACGGAACCCTTGAAAATTGTTTTACAGAACCTATAAAGAAACTGTGTTGAAGGGGTCGGTATATCTGATCGAATATGGGGATAACGGGAGGATCAAGCAGCAGCAGAAAAGTCAAGAAACTCGGAAATTATTCAAAGATGAGTTCTTAACTTGAATATCTTTAAAAAATTCTGAAATTTAAAAATTCCAAAAACAGTCTTAAAAATGCCTTTAAATTTGTATTGCTATCAGTATACATTGCTTTCACACTTTTCGCACGAGTACACAAAAAACATGTGAAGCCTACCTATTGTAATGAAAAACTGATTGATTGGGATAACGCCGGCGGCAACCGCATACTTCAATTGAATGCTGCTGGTCATAAATCAAGCAGACCTGCAGAATTTCGCTTCCTTTGAGGGCTTTGCAACAAATAAATTGGCCACTTATTTTCTGTTTACCAAACAGCTTTTTCAAGTGGCTTTAAGTTGCAACTTTAATTGCCTGCACAACACAACTTCGCTTCGAAACGGGCGCACAAAAATAAATTCTGTTAGCTGTCGGGAAATTTGCACAGCTCTCAAACTGTGAGCCGATTTCCTCAAAAGTTCAGTCGGCCAAGAAACCCTACAGCATTTCTCTCCCCCCTTTTTTCCCGCCATCGAGTTGCAGTTTATTATACGAACTTTACGTGGCGCATCTCCCTCTGTTTTTGCACCAATCCCCCATGCAAACATTGCAATTTAAGTACATATTTTTAGAAATACGAAAACTTAATTTACTAATATAATTATTTAAAAAATATTAAGTTTTTAAGTCGTTTTTATTTATATACCATAGTTTTATTTAGTAGTTGAAAGAAAGGTGTACAAAAATTTACATTTTCAAGAAACATTGACCTACACTTTATATGAGATCAAAATCATAATAAGGTCAAGCTTATTTAATAACAATGAAATTTTAAGAATATAGTAGACAGATAGATAGTGTCTTAGCAGACTTGATATCGCCTGGACCCTTAACAAACCTAAGATCATAAATATGACTTTAACAAGGCGTTGGCAACTGAATGCGTGCTCATTATGAAAGTTCTTTGATGATATTTTATTTCTGCAAGGATCCTTGTATTGAGGTGGTACTTGGAATCACCCATTCCGTTTGCTCATGGCCTCGTCGTTCCGTAAAACCTCACCTTTTTCCTTTCTTTTTTTCTTTCCTTTTTGGCACACCTTGTGCTTAAGTGCAATGTTGCATTTTTTCCACGACACTTGTTATTTTTGTTTTGATGCATTACAAATTTCGTGGCAGCCACTTGGCGACGCCTCTCGACGATGATGTCGTTGCTTCGATGGCGATGCACGGGCACGGGCACGGCCACCCAAGCCAATTCCATCCAGGATTCCCCAGTCCCAGTCCCAGTCCCAATGGCATTTCCATTCCCAACTCTGGTTGCCTGGCTGGCTGGCTGTCAAGCGACCTGGCGGCAAAATAGACGGATAGACGACGACGAAGGAGAAAATATTTGTGCTAACCATCCAAGTTCTCCCCCTTCATCGCGCAAAAAGCGCCCGTAATTGCTTATGCAAATTTTCGCTGCAGTTTTCAACACGGCGCCCATATACCATACCTTTAATTCGCCCTCGGAAAGGTGAGACTCGACCCGACCCGACCCGACCCTACCCTTCATGTTGCCAAGTCGTCGTCCTTTTCGTCCTGGGATGAAGTTCTTACTCTGGCAGATAGAGATACCGACCCGGCTGCAGCTGCAGCTGATTCTTTGACTCCTGGCAGAAGGCACTTTAACGCGGTTTGCGAATTGTGTGGCCTGGCCTCGCAACCACAGCTCAGCACACAGATGGAGCAATCTGTGTACCGAGATTGTAGCCCGCAAATATGATGGTTTTTAAGGCGAAGTAAGCATTTCCACATCTATATTAGAGTCGGTAAACAAATTTCTAAAGGCAGCAGCACTTGGATATTGATCTTTAAAGGGTTCCTGTCCTTGGAATAATCATTTACCATTCCTTTACATTCCTGCTTTTTGTTTAAGTTTTGTGCATTTCTATGCATACTTTGTAGGGCAGTTCATTTAGTTCTCCAGATGAAAAGAGATAAATATTAACACTTTATATTCACGTTTAATATTTACAATTGAATAATATAAAATATTTAACGGTTTCTAAATACTAAACGTTTATTATGAACCATTAAATGAAGTTAGATTGATACTGAAAATTGCAATTTCGATTTCTTTGTTTTTAAAACTACTCCAAAGTCGAACTTAGTTTAGTTTTTTAATATTATTTGCAAGACCTCTCGTGTATAGGAAATTCGCTTACGTTGGGTGAACTTAAACGTCGAATGAGCGTTATCCTTTACGATCTTCCCCTCAGTCGTTGCATCCCCCGTTTTCAAATCGATAAATGAAACCCCTGACTTTGGAATGAACCGAAATGTTTATTCGATAACCGAGTTCTATTGAATTAATATCACATCGGAGGGGAATCGAGTACCAGGAGGGTGGGATTGGGATTGGGATGTGCAGGGGGTTGGTTATGGCTATGGCGATTCCATCCGCTCTTACCGCAATCGCGAACCGCTCACTGTTGCTTTTCTATTGCAATAGCTGTATAGCTATAGGTATTACTATTCCTGTTGCCAGGACAGCTGTCGTCGTGACAATGCAGTGGCTGTTGCTTTTGCTTTTGTTGCTGCTCTTGCTTTTGCTGTTGCTTTTGCTGTTCCTGCTGCATTCGCAATGGCAGCTGCATCTGCTGCTGCTGCTGCTGCTGCTGCTGCTGCTGCACCCTCGTCCTTCGACTCGCATGTTTCCTGTTTGCCATTTTTGTGCGCTGAAATAAATCCATCGTCAGTCCGGCAGCAGACACACACACACACACATCGGGGTAAACCGGAATCATTGCTGGAGGCACTAGAAACTGGAATACATCAGGTAGGTGTCTATCTATCTACCCATCCATATATCGAGGTAACCCCCCTAATCAGCATGGAGCCCAAGTCCTGGGTTTTCCCGGTTTCCCAGTTTCCCAGGAGCACCACTTAATTGGCTGCGACGGTCAATCAGCATTGCTCGCTTCCTCCTCACGTGTTCGGTTACGGATTGGATGGGTTATATTGGTGGGTATGTGGGGATTGGGTATATCCCGTATCCCAGGATATGGGTGGGACCATGACCATGGTCGATTAGGTGCCTAATAGGCGACCACTAACAGTTGATCGCCGCCATCACATTACACGCCACCGCCGAGAAGTGAGCTTTCTATTTCAAGGCCTTCCTTTGTGACCGATTCACCTGCTCATTGCCACGTGCCAGCTTAAAAGTGTCAATTAAAATTAAAATTAAATTAAACTATTTATATCTGCATTATGAACCAGTTTCTCTTATCTTGCAGGTTGTCATCGTCAGCCAATCGTCATGCTACTTCAAGCCAAGCACAAACATAAAAAACTATAAAAACAACCAAAACACGTGAAGCATCGAACAAAAAAAGGACGAAGGAAAGTTTTGGCACCATAGGAACTTGCTTTTCAAAGGGACCAGGTAAGTTTTAGAGGATTTATACCAAAGAACTTTTTATTTGACCAATATATGAACATTTTTAGTTTGACCACTACTTTAAGTTTAACATGCTAACGAGAAAACGGACCAAAATGATTTAATGATTAGGATCTGTTTTACTTAACTTTTTAGATACTTTTTTGTTCTTATAAAAAACATAAATTTGTATTTGCCTTCTTAAATTATTTGCGATCATTTTAATAGCAAGTCAAACAAAATTTCGTGATGGCTCCAATATGTGTGGATGTACATTGCAAATGCTGTGGGTTCCTTGAATATTAAAATATATAGGCTCCTTTAGATATATTATTTTTTAGTTATTTATCTATTTCAAGAAATATCACAAAGAATATACTCCTTGCGTGCTACGACTTCATTTTCGCTTAGCTTATCGCACAATTGAAATTTAAACTAGAGCTCGTGATAGATTGTTTGGCGATAGTAGGTTCATAATTTATTTTTCTGATGCATGCTTGGTGGCTGTGCACGTGTGGGGCACGAATTGGAAAACACGTTGGTGTAATTGAGCGTTTTTATTATTTTTATGCTCGCTTGACAGATAATTGTGGCCCAGGGGCGGACATTGGGATTGGGATTGGCTGTTAATTTACTTGTCACGCACGTGCCGCTCCCATTGTCCAAGAGACTAACTTATCGCAATGGCTGTGTGTGCATCACGTGTGTGTAAATGCAAAAGTATAGCTAACTAACAGCACATGCCCCGCGGTTTCCCAGGAATCTCAATCCCATTTGAGGGATAAAAATGTCCTCTATTTTTTTCAACTTTTTCTAGGTGTGTTGAAAATGGTGTCTTAATATTTTTAAACCAAAAGAATTTAAATAGGAGCGAAAGAAATAACAAATGTGAAAGGCATTTTACTAATATGTTGAGATATGTATCTATTACTAAGAATAACTGAAAAACAAGATATCTAACATCTAATTTAATATATTCAATATATACAATAATAATTTCATGGTATGCCTAAAAATCCCTAATGACGTCGTCGTATCGTATATCGTATATAATATGTTCTACCTTTATTGTAATATTTTCAAATTGAGGTTGAATATGTTTAGTATGGAAAATTATGAAACTTAGAATTCAATAATAATACATTTATTTTAATAAATGTGTATACATGTGCCCACCAAGTATTATTAGTTAAAATAACTTATCATTCATAACATTTTCCTAGGCGCCTTTAAAAATAAAAAATAATTTAAATTTATTCGGCGCAAGACATTACTTCTTGTGCCTACATTTTATAATTTTTGTTCTCCAAAACCAAGTAAGGAATAATGAATTTATGCGCAACAAAATTAAATTGAAAGCAAATGCACGTGGTCTTTTTCATTGTAAAATTGGGAGCACAGGACTAAGAAAGCACAAAAAACAAATGAAGGCCAACAGGTCAAGCTGAAAAACAAGAACACGAGGCAGCCAGATCATCTTTTGCCACTTACTCGCCCTGAAACAAATGGCAAACAGGTGTAAAAATGGTTAAGAGAAAAATAAATGGGGAAAATGTGTTTCGACAAGGGCCCGGCCGAAAGGCCACAGTAGTGACCCCCTGACCCCCTGACCCCCTGACCCCAAGGGCCATGCCCAAGCCCAAGCCCTGCGGCCTGCGACCTAAAATTATTAAATTCCGAAACGGCGATTAAAAAGTACAACGAAGGGGTGCCGGCTCGTCCTTCTATATAGCTATATAGAATCTCTCGCAGGGAGCAAAAGCTCCTTCTTTGCTGACAAATCCAGCGCAGATGGGGCTAAAAAAAAATGAAATAAAAAAACAAAAAAGGCGGAAAAAACAGGGGTTTTTGGGGGCCGAAAAATAACAAAAGCTTCAAAAGCCATTGAAAAACGGTTGCCCAGGCCGCGTGGTCTTGACCGTTCACATCTACAATCCACACCAATCCACCTCCATGGCGTCCCCTGAGCTCATGTCGTCAGCATGGGTCTCCTGCTTTTTTGTATATGTATATAGCCAGTAGCCAGTCCTCTCGGGTTGAAACGATAAGCCTAGAAATGTTACAAACTGATTGTCCCGCCAGTATTTTAGTATTTTGGGGACAGATTAGGGAGCGGATGTGGCATAACGGCGAACCTACCGAAAACCCAAAACCCAAACCCCGAAACCCAGGCTAAATGCTTCATTTATACCCAAATCGAAATCTCTGGAGTCATAAAGAAAGGCTCCTCCTCGGCTTTGGTTGAATTTTGAAAAGTATTTCTTTATTGACTTGACTACTGCATGAGAGCCCCCTCTCCCTGAAAAAAAAAGATCTGAGCGCGATACAAAAGAGTCAAATTGGTTCTGACATCGCATTGAGCATTCAACAGATACAGATATATACACCCATTTTGTAAGCGGAGTGACATAAAGGTTTCCCAAGTCAAACGTCGATTCGCATTACTGTCCCCTCGTTTTGTGCTTCCAACTTTTCCATTGTTTGCTGTATTTTTTTGGGGACTCCGGAGAAGAAGGGGCTTTGAAAGTAATACAAACATATTCAACATGTCACTTTGTGCTTTTGAATAATTTGCTGCAAATAGTATATATTTCTTGGTGTTATTTAGTTGGATACCTAATGCCAAATTGAAAATCGAAATTCCCACAACTTGTTTACTCTCAAAGCCAACCCGAAGACGACGACGACCCGTGTGGCGATTTAAACAAACTGGATTAAATCGAGTGAATCTTTGGGTTTCTATCCCCCGGATTCTTGTGCACTTGTTTGTGCTTATACGGACTGCATTTATCCATGTGGCAGAAAGGCGGAGAACTGGAGACAGGTGTCCTGGTTGAGTGCACATCCACTGACGTTGACTTTGCTGCGTGGACAAGAAGCGTGCTTCCTGTGCGGAGATTGCGAGTTGCAACTGTTGTGTCCTCAGCTAGAAAACTACATCGCGACTCGTCGACTCGGGAAAGTCTTTAGCTCCTTTTGTTCACTCGGCTTAGTCCAACCATAAATATGCAATCGCATCAGCTGGATACCAAATACTTAATAAGCAAATCGAAGGAAATATAAATATATTATTGAGCGGGTTTCTCGTATTCTGAAAGAAAATGCTACATTTTTTTTATTTTTACTTTGAATAAGTAAGAAAATCACCCTAATAGCTGTCCTTTCTAAAATACTAGTCTTATTGAAATGGACTTGTCTGAAATTTTATACATTTAAAAAATGTGTAATTCTACAGACGAAAGTGCAACCAAGCTGTTGTACAGGAAACGTATACAAATAATACTACTTTGTTTTTATGCCCTTGCTGAGCTGTAAGCCTTTAAGCGATTCACCTTAAATTGTAAAAGGGCAATATAAAACTTTTGCAGTCGTCTTTTTTTATGTGCCAACGGAGGATCAAAATAATAAAATAAGAACAACCGACTACCGTGAAACAAATTATGTTGCATTGCTAAAATACATTTGCGGAACTTTTATTCAAATCAAACATTTATGGTAATTTTCCAAAAAAGTTATTTTGATATTGACAACACAAACTTGGTCCGCTCAAAAGTATTTTCCTATAGATTTCTCGCGAAAAGGAAAACCCGTGATGGAGAATTTTCTACGTGGGCAATTTTAGTATCCTGGTACTCGAACGCCCAAAAAAAGAGTGGTGAAGTGAAGGCATGAAAATGCGTAAGCAGAAAAGTTTGCAGCACACGAATGGATTTCCACAAAACAGTTTTGGGGTACATAAATCTAAATGAGCTTAGTGTGTGTAACGTCGCTGGGAAAAGAGATTTATTGTTTGATTCTGCAGCATCCACGCCCCCGAATTTCCACGCTTTCACCTCCGCCCAATCATTTTTGCACCTATAGCCACCCAAAGCTACCCATTCCAATTGGGCCTCGAGGCATTGGGCGAACGAAATCTTTATGGATTTCGCTATGTAGTTGGATTGACATCCCCCCTTCGACCGCCACATCCACATTTTTGGGATGGAGAAGGCGAGAGATTCAGGTACTAAATCCCATGCCCTGGGCTATAATCTCAGGGGGTTGTAACCGCACCTAACTTATTGCTGAAATCTCGTATGAAACCGACATATAACTCATAATACCCACATATATATAGGTATTTAAAAACAACGGAATTAAGCCGATTTGTCCTCAGATTTTCATATAACCAAAATGTATGGCTAACATTGTATGAAACTGGAATGGTGTCGTTATTTTTATGCATAAATGTAGCAAAACATCACTGCTATGTGCGAATGAACATATACAACTGGGATTTATTTACACAATAAAACTTGAAACCGAAGAAACACTTTTTGGGGAAGTTTCGATTCCGCCCCATCCTTTCCTAATATATTTTTAGATTTTCTATGGCACCTCATCTCCAGCAGTTTTTTACACTCCCTAGGGTGCGGCAGATTTATAAACAGATATAGAATTTCCCTGCAGGCAGGCAGCTCCACGGGAATTTCCGGAGCAACCGAAAACGGCCTTGTATAAAAATATTATATATGCACACAAATTTTACAAGTTTTCCATTACTCATTGTAGCTAATTTCCATTATTCTCTCTGTCTTTGCAGATTACCAGGTTCTTGTTAAATGGGTGAGTTGAGCCCCAAGATCATGGGCAATTAATTTTTGAAAAACTTAAAAGTTTAAATGAATTGATGAAATTAAAAGTGTCGTGCTGAAATGGCATAAAGCATAAAGCAGCCACAATCGAATGCAATTATCTTCAGAAACAACAAAGTTATAAAACTTTTGCGGATCGTTAGACGCCACTTTACTCAGTCGATTTGATTAATGTTTCTGGGCCAATTTTCTATGGCAGAGTGCAATCTTTTTTTCTACCCCTTTTCGGTTTCAGTGGCAAGTGGCCCACATTGGCAGCAATTTTTTTACTCATTACCGCCCACTTCCTACGCCAGACTTTCTTCCCCGTAGACATTGCAGGCGTATTATTCGTCTTTGGAGTTCCACGGAAAATAATTAACATGTCAGTTCGGTTTGCTCGTAAAACTTTTGCACACACCCTCACACCCACACAAAGGCACGCGAACTTCCGCCCACACTCACACACAGGCAACAAATAAAACAAAGGAAAAAATGGCAGTGTTTTGTCGCGTTGTGTTCCGCCTGCCAGAGTTAAAGAAAAGAGTCGAGCGAAATTCCGGTGAAAATTTCTTTTTAAAGAAAAGGAAAATGTTCTGCATTTTAATGGCTAAAATGTGTAAGAAATCAAAACATGCAATACAAGAAAGCAAAAGCAGGCCAAAAACACCAAGAACAATTTGTAGCGAGGTCATTCTTGCATCCATAACAAGAAAAACCGCAAATGAATGTATACAAATAGCCAACTAAGTGGAATGAGAAAAAAAAAAACTTCGAAAGAAAGTGCATTATTTTGTAATTAAATAAGGTACATTGTAGAGCAGTAAGAGAACTTATTTCTTTGCCGAGTTTGTGCTATGATGGTTCATAATATCTTTCTTAGTATGCACCTACGAATTATTACCGATTTTCGGTTTCCTACCATTAATTTTTATGTCGAACGGCATTCGCTGAAGTGTGATCAGGCTAAAAAATGTAGGGACTCATTTATAGTTATAGTTGGAATAAAGGTTGAATTACATGCACTAAAAATATGTTGCTACAAATATCGTTTTATATACATGTCTTACATTTACGGCTTGATATATGTTTATTTTACATGAGTACTACACAAATGTTCTGCGAAATGTGTGAAAAAAGGTTACAACTTTGTGAAAGGTCTTCAATTGCGACTCGAATTTTACGTTATGAACCGGTGTTGTACAACCTTACCTCCTTCGTCCTTCTTGGCCCTTTTTTTGTTTTTTTCTTCGCGTGGCTAATAAGATTCTCCACTTTTTCCAACGCCTGCTCTCTCGCTCACTCACACGCTCGCACTCTGTCGCTCTCTTGATGGCACTTTGCATGCAAATTGTGTTCTATTTGCATACTTTTTGCAGGCACTGGGATGCATATGCATGTGCAGACATACGTACACGGATAAAAAAATATTGAAAAAAGGAAAGAATAGATACTAGCATATAAGATATATTTGTATTTTTTACTTAATCTTCAACATTGAAAGTTGTAGGAAACTTGGAGAAAAGGGGCTTGGGAAATGTTTTGTCAGTCTTGTGACACCTTAAAATCCTTTACCCTGGGTAATATGACTCTAATACCATATTCGCATTTTTTTGACTGTACATATGTACGTAAGTATATCTGTCGCACATTATGTGTAGCCAGGTACTTATACTGCATTGTCTGAGTGCGAGTGGATGAGTGTGAGTGTCTATCCCCCTATGGGTTTTATAAGGAAGCTCCACCTTTTCACACAAACGTATATATCATCTCTGACTTTATTCCCCCTTCAAATATTACCGCTCATCTGCTAACGAAATTAAATCCAGATTCAGTATAAAAGTAGATATTGACAGTACAAACATGCGCTCCACAGGAACGACCTCAACCTTTCCACTTTTGGGTTCTAATCGGTTTTGGAAAGAACTACACTCAGAAAAAAATTCAAGTATTTCGTGCTTGAACCTAGTATTTTCGGTGTCAAAACTTCGCCAAGCATGGAAAATACAGAACGCGAGAACAAAATACTACTTTCGAGCACGAATTTTCAAGACCCAAAATACTAGATTTAAGAACCTTTCGGTCTCGAATCTAGTATGAATAATTCTTAAATCAAGTCATATTTGGACTAAAAACAAGAACGATTTAATAATAAAGTAAAAAGTTGCAGGCATGATTTAAGGACGAATAATTCTTAATTCAGTATATAAATATTATGAAATTAAAATGAGTTTTTATTTTATGCTATTAAGGGAAATATGTATTGGAAACTGAAACGAAATAATCGAGATATATATAAATAATAATATTTTAAGTTTACTTACGACTTGCCGCTCACGGGCATTAAAACTGTCTAAATTATGCGCCTTATATACCGAGTATTTTCAGAATAAACAGTTGGGAATTATTAGAGTTGACAGACATTAAAAATGCAAAAAGTGCTCAATATGAGAATTTTTTGAGCACGAACGTTCTTAAATGTTAAGCACGCAATTTTTCTTAAATCAAGGCTGTTTGTACTTGTTTTTAGCACGGTGTTTTTCCCTGAGTGTAGTTATTAAAACTCACGATCCATTTTGATCCATTACTTGCTTTGGTATCTAAGACCATTTGACACTTGCTTAACTTTCGACTTATTTATTAAGTTTATTACAAAATATATATATATATAGAAGGTCTGACGATTATTAAGACATGATGCCAGCTATCTGATACCTTTTTATCCCCGATTGATGGTAATAAATATGTTTTTTCCTTTTCCCCCTAAAGCGTGCTGGGGAGCTAAAAACTTTTGCTGTGCGTTATAAGTATTCTATGATTCACACAATACATCAGCCCTCGCGAGTGCCTTCAAACTTTCATTCCTGACGAGGACAACAAACTGCAGTCACTTTGTTTGCCCTGGCCACACTGAGTAAAAGTGGAGTAGTGCTAGTGCGCTAGTAGTGCTAGTGAACTTTTCCAAACTGGGTGCGCTTCCTTGAGCTAAGTTTCTACCAAGTTGTTTCCAACATTTGTTCTGCTCCGTAGAAATTGAGAAACGGAGAAATGGAGAAATGGAGAAACGGAGAAATTTCTACATTTAGAATTATATAGAAGCGGAGAAACTGGAAACTTTTGGCGCCAGCTTAGCGGCGCTCAACTTTCAGCTTTTCCCTTTTTGGCAGGACTCTCAAGCGCTCATTTGTTAAGTTTGTTGGCAGGCCAAGTCGAGAATATGCGGCGGTTATATCAGGCTCAGACCAGCAGGAGAAGAGGAAGAGGTAGGCGGATGGGCGAAGGGCGAAGGCGGAAGAAAGGGGCATGGCCAGACAAAGGCTCCGTTCTTCGCTGGGCTTCCTGCCTACCATACGCCATATGCCATATGCATATGCACATAAATTTTGTTGCATTTCAAGTATTGCACACCAGCAGAGGACTCGGGGACTCCCATACTACTTCTACTTGTACTACCACTACTATTTCTACTTCTACTTGCACTTCTACTACCACTGGCTCAGCTCGAAAGGACTCTCAACCACTCAAAGGATGGCAAACAGAGCCGGCATACACACATCACTTGACTTGACTGTGGGGCCATGTGCCCTGGAAAAGTGACTTGCGTTGGGCTAAATTTTAGTGGGTTTGTCTAGCAGCTTGTCGTGGCACGTAAACCTAAACCAACCGAATTTGTCCATTACAATTGCATCCGAGCCCAATTCCGCTACCCCGCTGCGCATCCGCTGCGCATTCTCCCATGTAAATCGAACCCGGAGTCGAAGTCGAAGTCGGAAGAAAGATAACATTTTTCACAGGGAGTTAGGGGAGTGTTCACGTTTGGCAGATGAAGGCGCTTCAAATGGGTTTTGTTGGCTCAGTTGGAAATAACATAATTGGGGCTTCCATGACACTATCTTTATTATGTCACGACATTTGAGGACTTATGTAAAGGGCGAATGAGCGAATAATTCTTTGACTTATTGATTAAGTTACATGTGTCGTCAGGTCCCCGAAATACTGATGAAAAGAAAGTGATGTCCTCTTTAAGGAATTCACTGACTTCACCGCCATTGTTGCCGCTTCTGCTTAAAGAGCGACTCAAGACCTAAGTCGAGAAATGTCGTCTTACGCTATTGTCCTGGCCAGTTTTAATCGAAAAATGCCATAAAATAAAATTAAAATTCTATAACACGCAACGGAGATGCTCAGTCAAGTGTGTGGCAAAAAAAAGCGAGACAGCCGGAACACAGGGCAACAATTGAAAAAAAAAAAACAAGAACGCTATAGTGGAGTGAATCGACTACCAGATACCCATTATTCAGGTAAAGGGAGCCAAAGGGAGATGGAGATATGCAAGCAGCAAAGAAAGATTGTAAGTCGAGCCTATCGACTTTGGGATACCCGCTATTGACTTTTGTAAACTTGTGGAGGTTACCAAGACAGATATAAAATTCTCTACACCTTATGATTTCCAAGATCTTGTTAAATCGTCTAGTGTTTTCTATCTTTCCTGGTAACTTCCTTTTAGTATTATGACCTACAATGCCGTGTTTAGGATAATTGAACAGACTTCAGTACAAAAAGAAGGGGCTACTAATCCCCACTCTGGTTTCGAAGATCTGGTTGTGTTGTCTGAAAAATACAATCAATGTAAGATGCGTTTCACTGGTGTCTCCCGACCAACAATTATAAACACCCGAAACAAGGGTATAATTATACTACACAGAAGCTGAAAACAATGGACCAGCAACGCTAGTGGGGGGCAAAGGCACCTGATACAATCAAACTTTGTTTGGATGAAAATAAATTTAAACTGCAGGAAGCGTCAAAGCGCATGAGAGCAACGGGGACATCAAAGGAGGCGAGTCGGGATTCTAGAGTTACCAGGGATGCTGCAGGATGCGAAGGCGAAGCCATGTCCATTCAGGTTCCTTTTGCAACACAGTATGTTGAATCGATTGAATGGTCTAGTTTAGGGTTGCCTAGTCTCATCCCTTCCTTGTTTTTGCAATT